TGTTTCTTAGCTCCGCCGTGATGTTTCTTGGCTCCACCGCTATGTTTCTTGGCTCCGCCGCGATGTTTCTTGGCTCCGCCGCTATTTTTCTTGGCTCCGCCGCGATGTTTCTTGACTCCGCCGCTATGTTTCTTGGCTCCGCCGCTATGTTTCTTGGCTCCGCCGCTATGTTTCTTGGCTCCGCCGCTATGTTTCTTGGCTCCGCCGCTATGTTTCTTGGCTCCGCCGCTGTGTTTCTTGGCTCCGCCGCTATGTTTCTTGGCTCCCTTGCCACGTTTCTTTGCTCCCTTGCCATGTTTCTTGGCTCCCTTGCCATGTTTCTTGGCTCCGCCGCTATGTTTCTTGGCTCCGCCGTTATGTTTCTTGGCTCCGCCGCTATGTTTCTTGGCTCCGCCGCTATGTTTCTTGGCTCCCTTGCCATGTTTCTTTGCTCCCTTGCCATGTTTCTTGGCTCCCTTGCCATGTTTCTTGGCTCCCTTGCCATGTTTCTTGGCTCCCTTGCCATGTTTCTTGGCTCCCTTGCCATGTTTCTTGGCTCCCTTGCCATGTTTCTTGGCTCCCTTGCCATGTTTCTTGGCTCCCTTGCCATGTTTCTTGGCTCCCTTGCCATGTTTCTTGGCTCCCTTGCCATGTTTCTTGGCTCCCTTGCCATGTTTCTTGGCTCCCTTGCCATGTTTCTTGGCTCCCTTGCCATGTTTCTTGGCTCCCTTGCCATGTTTCTTGGCCCCCTTGCCATGTTTCTTGGCTCCCTTGCCATGTTTCTTGGCTCCCTTGCCATGTTTCTTGGCTCCCTTGCCATGTTTCTTGGCTCCCTTGCCATGTTTCTTGGCTCCCTTGCCATGTTTCTTGGCTCCGCCGCTATGTTTCTTGGCTCCCTTGCCATGTTTCTTGGCTCCCTTGCCATGTTTCTTTGCTCCCTTGCCATGTTTCTTGGCTCCCTTGCCATGTTTCTTGGCTCCCTTGCCATGTTTCTTGGCTCCCTTGCCATGTTTCTTGGCTCCCTTGCCATGTTTCTTGGCTCCCTTGCCATGTTTCTTGGCTCCCTTGCCATGTTTCTTGGCTCCCTTGCCATGTTTCTTGGCTCCCTTGCCATGTTTCTTGGCTCCGCCGCTATGTTTCTTGGCTCCCTTGCCATGTTTCTTTGCTCCCTTGCCATGTTTCTTGGCTCCCTTGCCATGTTTCTTGGCTCCCTTGCCATGTTTCTTGGCTCCCTTGCCATGTTTCTTGGCTCCGCCGCTATGTTTCTTGGCTCCGCTGCTATGTTTCTTGGCTCCGCCGCTATGTTTCTTGGCTCCGCCGCTATGTTTCTTGGCTCCCTTGCCATGTTTCTTTGCTCCCTTGCCATGTTTCTTGGCTCCCTTGCCATGTTTCTTGGCTCCCTTGCCATGTTTCTTGGCTCCCTTGCCATGTTTCTTTGCTCCCTTGCCATGTTTCTTGGCTCCCTTGCCATGTTTCTTGGCTCCCTTGCCATGTTTCTTGGCTCCCTTGCCATGTTTCTTGGCTCCGCCGCTATGTTTCTTGGCTCCCTTGCCATGTTTCTTGGCTCCCTTACCATGTTTCTTTGCTCCCTTGCCATGTTTCTTGGCTCCCTTGCCATGTTTCTTGGCTCCCTTGCCATGTTTCTTGGCTCCCTTGCCATGTTTCTTGGCTCCGCCGCTATGTTTCTTGGCTCCGCCGCTATGTTTCTTGGCTCCCTTGCCATGTTTCTTTGCTCCCTTGCCATGTTTCTTGGCTCCCTTGCCATGTTTCTTGGCTCCCTTACCATGTTTCTTGGCTCCGCCGCTATGTTTCTTTGCTCCCTTGCCATGTTTCTTTGCTCCCTTGCCATGTTTCTTGGCTCCCTTGCCATGTTTCTTGGCTCCGCCGCTATGTTTCTTGGCTCCGCCGCTATGTTTCTTGGCTCCCTTGCCATGTTTCTTGGCTCCCTTGCCATGTTTCTTGGCTCCCTTGCCATGTTTCTTGGCTCCCTTGCCATGTTTCTTGGCTCCCTTGCCATGTTTCTTGGCTCCCTTGCCATGTTTCTTGGCTCCCTTGCCATGTTTCTTGGCTCCCTTGTTATGTTTCTTGGCTCCGCCGCTATGTTTCTTGACTCCCTTGCCATGTTTCTTTGCTCCCTTGCCATGTTTCTTGGCTCCCTTGCCATGTTTCTTGGCTCCCTTGCCATGTTTCTTGGCTCCCTTGCCATGTTTCTTGGCTCCGCCGCTATGTTTATTGGCTCCGCCGCTATGTTTCTTAGCTCCACCGCTATGTTTCTTGGCTCCGCCGCTATGTTTCTTAGCTCCACGGTGACGGCTCATAGCGCGGTGACGTTTCAATCTCATAGCTGCACGGTGACGTTTCAATCTCATAGCTGCACGGTGACGTTTCAATCTCATAGCTGCACGGTGACGTTTCAATCTCATAGCTGCACGGTGACGTTTCAATCTCATAGCTGCATGGTGACGTCTCATAGCGCGGTGACGTTTCAATCTCATAGCTGCACGGTGACGTTTCAATCTCATAGCTGCACGGTGACTTTTCAATCTCATAGCTGCACGGCGACGTCTCATAGCGCGGTGACGTTTCAATCTCATAGCTGCACGGTGACGTTTCAATCTCATAGCTGCACGGTGACGTTTCAATCTCATAGCTGCACGGTGACGTCTCAATCTCATAGCTGCACGGTGACGTCTCAATCTCATTGCTGCACGGTGACGGTGACGTCTCAATCTCCTAGCTGCGCGGTGACGTCTACGTCTCCTAGCTCCGCGGTGGCGTCTCCAATCTCCGCTAGCTTCCTCTTCCTCAGCAGCGGTGTGTTCCTCTTCCTCAGCAACAATTACCTGAAGCAGGAGGACCGCAGCGATCACAAACAGTATGATCTTCATCTTGTAGCAAACAAATTAACAACTAAACTGAAAAATGGGCTTTGGAGGAGTTAGGACACTGCTTTTATTCTAAACTCAAGATCAGTAAAGTCTCCAGTTGTTGGTGGTGATGAGGTGCTTGATGTGATCAGGTGTTTTATATCATGATGAGCTGACTTCAGACTTGGTGTTACACGTGTTCTTCCTCCTCTTCACACGACCAACATCCTTGTGCGCATATCTAGCCTGCTAAATCACTCAACACTGCATTTTGAGATAAGGGGCCCCGAAAGTTGAAACCAACCTGAATGGATGTATTTTTGAACGCTGATTCCGAATCACCCCCACATTACTGGTGAAAACTGTATCGATCACGTGATATGACCATATTAGGAAGTTGGCCTTATTTCTTGTACTGGTTATGGTTTCAGCATATGCTCTGTCTCTAGTTAAGGATTGGGTATTGGGTAAGCGTTAGGGTTGAAGTAGGTCACGTGAAAGTCAAGTGTAGAATGATTAATCAGCATATCCCGCATCCCACAATTACATTTAATAAGTTAACAATATCGAATACATTAAAAACACCTCTCTTGGCCACGATGATGGGGGCTCTTCGGCCTACAATCTACAGCATTAAATTAAATTCCTTCTGTCAGGTAAATAAAATCAAGGGTTTGTTAAATCGATTTTAAACATAGCTATTGTTTCAAAATTACACTAGCGTAATCATTTGGAAACCCTCCTCCTATATCGGGCCGAAAACAATCCAAAGAGATTTCTACGCTTACAGGGTGATTGATGTGATAAACCTAAACTCATTAGAAATTACGATTCGCAATGCATGCAGTGAATAAAGGGGTAAAGCGAGCGACGGATTTCATTCTCGGTATCATTTTGCATTTGAGAACGGTAATGGATACGGTAACGGATAACGGTAACGGATATCATTTCCTTTTGTTTGGGAAATCGATACATCGGCAACGGTTCACTCTACCCAATTACGGGTTTCGGAAAATAAAACTGTATTCTTATTCAATTGCCAGTTTGTACTAAATTACGTTCACAATAAATAACCGTACTTCATTGATTTAATTTTCCAAAAATAGCCTTTCGCACAAAGCTCTGTTTCTACGCTACTTCGTAACAACAAGGATACACCTAGTTAGCTAGTGTAACCATAGCAACACTAACTTATATGGTAGTGTAACCATAGCAACACTAACTTATATGGTAGTGTAACCATAGCAACACTACCTTATATGGTAAGAATACACCAGCTCACAGTTGACAAAGTCTTCACTACCAGGTTCTCAAGTCTCAACAGGAGGATGTAGTATATTGTATACATACATATTGTATATAATACATCGTTTTGATGTCCTTAGAAGGGTATTCTTCTAAAAGTTTTTAACTTACTTGAATGTCCTGCACAGCAGTTTGAAGCTTCTTTAAATTATTTGTAATCTTATTGGATTGCTGTGTAAATTTAATTATAATTCTAATTCGTCCCTCTGAGACTGAAGAGCTTGTATTGGAGACTTTGGAATATCAACTCTAACTTGGAGCTTTAAATAAAATTAGAAACACATTGTGTAACCATATCAACACTAACTTATATGGTAAAACACATTGGACCAGAAAGGAAATGGTGCCTTCCTGTATGATTTGAGAGTTTCTCTTTTAGTGAAGATTAATGTTATGATCTATAGATTTATAAGGGGAAGTGAACGTTGGAAATGGCGGGATATGTTTTCAGTTTTCGTAACAAGGCGCCATTTAGAAAGCTATTAGTTTAGAAAGCTATTAGTTAAGAAAGCTGTTAGTTTAGAAAGCTATTAGTTTAGAAAGCTATTAGAGCCATTTAAAAAAGCTATTAGTATTTCCACACGGTCAAAATTCATCTCTACAATTCGAGAAAACTCCAAAATTTGAACTTGGATTTTATGAAATACTATGATTTTATTAGCTTGAATACTGATTCCTGACTCGTCAACCCAGAATTGATATGATTTCGCAGAATGTTATCAGAGTAACCAGAGTAACCAGAGTAACCACACTATGGAATAGTTGAGAAAACAGGAAATTATTGGTCTGGCATTTTAGTCACACAAAAATGTTTAACTTTTGTAAGACTAACTGAATATTACCCTGCAGGAACGAAGTCAGCCGCCGGACTCGCTAAATTTAGCCGGAGTGGTGTCCGAGCCGGAGTGTGACCCCCCTGATCCGGAGGAAGATCCGGAGGACAGTGCTCCGCCCATTCCCCCACCACGCTCCCTTCTTTCACCTCAAGGTTTGTAACTGGAAATGTAGTGAGGTTTTTTATCCCGTACCAGAAAGATTTTGAAGTAGTAGCGAAAATTTCGAAGTTTTATTTCCGTATCTTCAAGCTATCACTTTCTGCGAATAATTATTTTCAATTCCTTTTTCGATGATTACGTGCTGTTGAATGATCCTTACTGTGATCGTTACAATTAAGTTACATTTTATACTCTATCCAAAATTTCAATATTAAAACAGTCAGTTGCATTTCAGGTGTAAGCAGACGTGCAACCTCGCTGAAAACAAAGTCTGAAGGTGATCCCAGAATGGAGGAACTCAGGAAAGTTACACGAGCCTCCTCTTCAGTGCACTCAAAATCCAAACCGTCAGGAATCCCAATGAGATCCACACCCACCATCCCTGGCAGTATGCCAACACTATCCGGGACCCCCTCCCCCGCCAATACACCCCCTCCCAGACTCACCACCAGGTTACCCACTCCCAAGAACAACACCCCAGACATTGCAGTGCTCAGTGCCACGCCCTCATCCACCCCCGATATACTGGCCAGGATATCCGACCACTCAGCCAGGTCTACCCCAGAAGTCAAGCCCAGAGTGGCTCCGAGACGAGGTAAACCCGGTAGTAAACCTACGACCCCGTTCAAGGGTCCTATCGTCTATGAGGGTGAATCTGATTCAGAGACTTCTACTTCGTCATCCTCTTCTTCCGACGACGGGAAGAAATCTAAGTTTTCGCGTGCGCGCAGTGCGCGTTTTGCGCGCACCAAGGCTACCACTCCCAATAGAAACGCTGCAAGTTTCAGAACGAAGAAAGGGGGCAGTAAAAATCAGCAACCCTTGGAGTTTTTCAATAGCTTCGCGGAATGAATATTTTTTCAAAAGACAGTTATGTGTCTTTGAGTTTGAGATATCTGAACCTTAGAGTTTTAATGAACTTTTAACACAGCGATTTTGGCAGACGTTTTCATTTTCTTTTACAGTGTTATTTCTTTATATGTCGGCCCTGAGTTGCCCATTTTTATGGTATCGATAATGTTTACACTCCAGATCAGAATATGATGAAAAATAACACTTTTTCTTTGATTTTTATTTTCTCTTTTTAATTGACTAGATTTAGAATAGCTCACTTTCACACACATGTATATTGTACCACGTCTTTATTATTTCAATACCTTTTTGCGAGCATGTTTCAGTATCTAACGTTGCATTGTAATGTTATTGTAACCATATTAGGATTGCAAAGGTTACTTTCTAAGTTTACAAGATACGCATTGTAAAAATATGCAATTTGGGACGTAATCCGTCGTTGGTAATGAATTCCGTCGTCTATTAGACTTACCTAGATTCAAATAAGAACATTACCTTATTTGGGCATCACGTGGTAATATATTAGGTTGCGACAAATGTTAAACATTGAAAACATTGAGAACAGTTTGCCGGTAATCAATTAGCAGATGTTTTTTATAGTTATAAGACAAAATATTTGACGTTCGAGTAAAGTTTAGATTTCTTCCAGAATAGATGATTTGATTTACTTGCGGAATGGTGGAAAGAAGCACCTTAGTATCCATTGAATATGACAAAACGAAAATGGAGCTCCATTGTATTTTAACTATATTGTACTCACAGTGCCAGGTAGCCAAGTCCGTAAGGTTCATTGTGGTATCCAGTATATTTAGGAGTATATCTATATTTTATCTTCTCAACTTTAATGAGGACTTGTTTAATCAAAGTTTATATATTTTAGGTGAAACTTTCCAACCATAATCGATTGTGAGAAATCAATATCACTTACCACTTTATTGAGATGACACAATCAGTAGAATGTATTATTTTTGACTGATCAATAAATTTGAAAGATATTGTTCCAATATGAACCTAATTTAGAATTAAACATTGAAGATAATATGTGGAAAATGTATGTTTGAGTTTCTTCGAGTTAACACTTTCACTTTTACTTACACGGAGAAACATGTTTTATTTTGTATTGTCCATTGTTAATGGACTGTTAGTGATTGTTTGTTGTTGTTTGGGGGCCGGTTTATGGTACACCGGCCAATGTTTACAAAATCATATGATACATAACAATATAATTGTATTTAATATACGTGAATATTAGAATAGAAATCTTAAATTTCTATTAATTCCCTGAAATTGTTACTAAGTTCAAAATGAATTTATATGATAAAGTCTATCACTATATACTCCAGTAGCAGGGAGGTGTTGAGTGTGCACTTCGATGTACAGAGTTTTTTGCTATTGAATCGGGTTAAATAGGTCATTGGTAACTCAAATCACCGAGGGGGGAATTTTGTGTCGCTAGCCCCAACCCTGTGGAGCCACGCCCATATTTCATATCAGGTGCGTATATGGGAAATATGTATCTCAGCTTCTGAAGGTCTTAGAGACTCAAATTTGAGTTTAAAATGACCGCAATGCACATGTTTACCTTACAAGACATATCTATGGCGGCCTAATTTGCGACGACCGAAATTTTGGCGGTCCGAAAATATGGCGAAATTGAACAAAAACCGTCAAATTTCGGACGTCACAGAAAATAAGGGTATTTTTCATCATTTTTTGTGACAGTAAGCAGTAAGGAAATTTCTGAAATTCGGTAAAATCATGTTCAAACTTAGTCTGTATTAAGACTGTAAGACTTTCATGTTAGCACATACATGTATTTTAATGCAAATTTAAACTGTATTGCTTGACATTCAATTTGTCATTGGTGTGGTGATAATTTGTCCCAAGATGCCAGAATTTATTTATTTATTTTACTTGATATTACTTTTTAGAAACAAAATAAAGCAGTGAAGGCACAGTCATTGAAATAAGCTAAAAGATAATGCGACGGATTCTATTACGACGACCGAAATTTTGGCGGTCCGAAAATATGGCGAAATTTTCGGAAAACCGCCACATTTCGTACGTTATAAATATGTCTTGTAAGGTATATTAGTACTATGAAGGTCATGAAAGCCCAAAATGCTTATTTTTGGAAAAAATTCAGAAAAACCGATTTTCACTTGAGCGTGAGTAAAAAAATCTACTCTAGAAATTTAGTGAAAATCGAGTAAGCAGTTCAGTGTCTACAAGATTTCTAAACACAGGGTCCTCTGTTAGGTCATTCTGAATTAGAATTGATAAAGTAAGCAAATTCTATAAGTAGTTTCAACCCTGTGGAGCCACGCCCATATTTCATATCAGGTGCGTATATGGGAAATATGTATCTCAGCTTCTGAAGGTCTTAGAGACTCAAATTTGAGTTTAAAATGACCGTAATACACATGTTTATATTAGTACTATGAAGGTCATGAAAGCCCAAAATGCTTATTTTTGGAAAAAATTCAGAAAAACCGATTTTCACTTGAGCGTGAGTAAAAAAATCTACTCTAGAAATTTAGTGAAAATCGAGTAAGCAGTTCAGTGTCTACAAGATTTCTAAACACAGGGTCCTCTGTTAGGTCATTCTGAATTAGAATTGATAAAGTAAGCAAATTCTATAAGTAGTTTCAACCCTGTGGAGCCACGCCCATATTTCATATCAGGTGCGTATATGGGAAATATGTATCTCAGCTTCTGAAGGTCTTAGAGACTCAAATTTGAGTTTAAAATGACCGTAATACACATGTTTATATTAGTACTATGAAGGTCATGAAAGCCCAAAATGCTTATTTTTGGAAAAAATTCAGAAAAACCGATTTTCACTTGAGCGTGAGTAAAAAAATCTACTCTAGAAATTTAGTGAAAATCGAGTAAGCAGTTCAGTGTCTACAAGATTTCTAAACACAGGGTCCTCTGTTAGGTCATTCTGAATTAGAATTGATAAAGTAAGCAAATTCTATAAGTAGTTTCAACCCTGTGGAGCCACGCCCATATTTCATATCAGGTGCGTATATGGGAAATATGTATCTCAGCTTCTGAAGGTCTCAGAGACTCAAATTTGAGTTTAAAATGACCGTAATACACATGTTTATATTAGTACTATGAAGGTCATGAAAGCCCAAAATGCTTATTTTTGGAAAAAATTCAGAAAAACTGATTTTCACAAGCAAAAAATCTACTCTAGAAGTTAAGTGAAATCGAGTGTAAAGTTCAGTGTCTACAACGTTTCTAAACATAGGATCCTTTGTAAGATCATTCTGAATCAGAATTGATAAGGTATGCAAATTCTATTAGTAGTTTTAACCCTAGGGTGCAAAACTCCTAAATTACCCCCAGGCGCAAATATATGACTTTTCTGTCTCGGCTTCTGAACGTTGTAGGGGCCTCTCTTTGAGCTCAAACTAACTACAATGGCCACATTTATATACCGACTATAAAGCAACATAGGGTCTATATAGCTTAGTTTATAGAAATTCATTAAAAACTGTTTTAACCTTCATGCATCATAAAATAGTAATATGATCAAACATGTACTTAATAATGATATCTCGGGCTAAAAAGATATTTGCAGCACAGTAAAACGTTCAACATAAACACATTAGGATAACATTTATGGAGCAGCACATACCACCTAACTTTAATTTTGGTATAACTGCGAAAATACTCAGTTTCAGAAGGCTGCCTTCAGCTCCCTCTCTGGGGCTCTCTCCAGTACTGCTCGGCTTTTATGGCTAATCAACTTGAATCCAACCTCATGTAGCAGAATCTACTTCTAGCTGCCTTCTGCTAACTCCAGGTCAACTCTACCCAGCTACCACCATACGTTATAATTTTAGATCTTATAACCTCTGATATGAGTGCTACCTCCGCTGCATCCAACAATTTCCAGCTCATTAAGGAAGAGGACATTTTTCTGATGGTTGCTAGATAGGGCAAGAAGTAGTCCACTAACCTAAGCTAAGATTGCTAGAAATAGCAGAAGTTGGAGGAACCTTGGTGGTAGCTAAAGAGATAGTAGCCGAAGTAGGTGAAAACAGCTGGAATTGGTGGTATAGTAGCTGGATAGAGGAAGAGGTAGCATTCATATCAGAGGTTGCTAGAAAGATCTAAAATCATAACGCACTGGTGGTAGCTGGGTAGAGACTAGGGATGATGCATGGAGGTTAAAAAAGTTTTTAATGAATTTCTAAAAACTAAGCTGTATAGACCCTAAGTTGCTTTGTGCTTTATAGTCGGTATATAAATGTGGCCATTGTAGTTAGTTTGAGCTCAAAGAGAGGCCCCTACAACGTTCAGAAGCCGAGATAGAAAAGTCATATATTTGCGCCTGGGGGTAATTTAGGAGTTTTGCACCCTAGGGTTAAAACTACTAATAGAATTTGCATACCTAATCAATTCTGATTCAGAATGATCTTACAAAGGATCCTATGTTTAGAAACGTTGTAGACACTGAACTTTACACTCGATTTCACTTAACTTCTAGAGTAGATTTTTTGCTTGTGAAAATCAGTTTTTCTGAATTTTTTCCAAAAATAAGCATTTTGGGCTTTCATGACCTTCATAGTTCTAATATAAACATGGTCATTGCGGTCATTTTAAACTCAAGTTTGAGTCTCTAAGACCTTCAGAAGCTGAGATACATATTTCCCATATACGCACCTGATATGAAATATGGGCGTGGCTCCACAGGGTTGAAACTACTTATAGAATTTGCTTACTTTATCAATTCTAATTCAGAATGACCTAACAGAGGACCCTGTGTTTAGAAATCTTGTAGACACTGAACTGCTTACTCGATTTTCACTAAATTTCTAGAGTAGATTTTTTTACTCACGCTCAAGTGAAAATCGGTTTTTCTGAATTTTTTCCAAAAATAAGCATTTTGGGCTTTCATGACCTTCATAGTACTAATATAAACATGTGCATTGCGGTCATTTTAAACTCAAATTTGAGTCTCTAAGACCTTCAGAAGCTGAGATACATATTTCCCATATACGCACCTGATATGAAATATGGGCGTGGCTCCACAGGGTTGGGGCTAGCGACACAAAATTCCCCCCTCGGTGATTTGAGTTACCAATGACCTATTTAACCCGATTCAATAGCAAAAAACTCTGTACATCGAAGTGCACACTCAACACCTCCCTGCTACTGGAGTAATAAGAATATATATGAAAGTCAGACCTGCTAACGCATTTATTGACGCATTTATTTTAAAAGCAAGAAGAGACTCTTGTAATTGTATAAAAAGCCCTTTCGCACGCGCACGCCATTCTATAAGTATATATAGTATATACGGCGGTGAAAGAAACTTACGAAACAATGCCCAATTAACTGGCACGCCAGTCCCTGTGCACGGCGCTCTTTTCAAGCTTCCTGAAGTACGTGAGAGAAGCGAGCAATAGACTATATAGCAAGCTAGGTAAAACGAGCAATCGCATCATGTATGACGTTGATAGACGTTGTATACCTCTGCGGCCGTTGTATACCTCTGCGGTAGATTGACAGGATGAATTCGGAGTTATTTTCATAATAATCCCTCAACTCGCACTCAAATTATTATTGATTATCAACCTTTCTTATCTCGCCAACCTTTTTTATTGCTTATCTCGCGCGTCGCGGGAAAAATTAAAATATAATCGCTGTGCACGTTGTACTGTGCGTGCCGGCGTTATAATTATATTATGTGTGATATAAACACTTGCACTAATTTCTTGTCAATGTCAAACGTCGTATGATCTGACCCGCCGCGCACGAGTGCACGGCTCCCCCTGTAGGCCTGTATCGTAAAATCGATAGTGAAACGACCGTGGGGGTCACGACGTGATACAACTAATTCCGGGATAAAATAATCAGCCGGGATAAATAAATTCTGATATAATCTTAACAGGTGATACTCGTAAAAGATTTGTTTCAAATATAAGGACCGTCGACGAGTCCAACTCGGCGCGCGTCCTGGTAGGTTATAAAACTACAAGTACAACTGATAATCCCCCTATTTTTCCTGCTTAATAAATAACTCCGGCACCAGTGGCATAACTTTGCAGCTGTTTCCCTCCGCCGAAAAAGCGCCCGGGC